AGGGGTTCTGAGAGGGGCAGTCAGGGGGTGGGAAGTGGGAGGGGGTGGATGGGGGGGGGCAGGCTGTTTGGGAAGGCACAGCCTTCCTTACCCAGCCCTCCATACAGTTTCGCAACCCCAATGTGGCCCTTGGACCAAAAAGTTTGCCCACCCCTGAGCTAAACGCAGGAAAGATTCTGATTCTGTGGTAATGGGGGCCATGTACGTACAAAGATTTAACAAGGTGAGTTCATGTAATAAACAGACTCCGCTGTAACTTGTCATTTCCATGTCTGTTTGCTCGCAGTCGGTGCAACTTTCTGGATGTTGTACTCCATACCTCGCTTCATACCCAAAGGTAAGAACCCACCTTGGAACATTCTAACAGGCTTTGATGGGAGCGGCAGAGATATCCTGGTAGACGCCCTAGATTGGAATGTGCAGCCCGCTCTCCCAGTCCACCCCCCCAAACCCAGAGCATGATTGTTCCCTGCAGGGCTCTGCCCAGCCCCTCTCTCAATGCCTCAGTGTCTCTCTTTCAGTCTACCCGGCTTTGAAGGGGAGAAGATCACAGCGCACTGGGGAATTTGTGGAGCGAGACAGCAGGTGCCACATGGAGAGTTAGTGCACGGCAGGCTAGTGTGGGGTAGATTTACACCTCAAGCTGCCTGTTTGTACTGACAGGCCCTTGGTTAAAGTGCATTAAACCCCCGTGTGGATGCTCTGATTCAGAATAAAAGTGGCTTTGATTTGGATTCACTGAACTCACTTCCAAAGTGAAATTAGAGTCAGGCCTGGTCTATACTTCAAATTTCGGTCAACAGCTATGGCGCTCTGAGATGTGAAAAAATACACTACTATTGTCCCCATAGTGTAGACGTGGCCTTACGTTAATTCAGATTAAGAGCATCCACACAGGGGCTTAATGCATTTTAACTTATTCACATTAGAAGTTAATTTGGATTAACTTTCCCAATTGTCCCCATGTAGACAAGCAGAAAAAGGTACTCTTATTCTAGAATGAGTGTCCATGGGGAAATTGACCGGAATTAGCTAGGGCAAAATAGCTACCATGTATAGACAAGCCCCTCATCTCCCACACTGATTATCCCACCTCTGCAACCCTACTTCACCACTGCCTTACTCCTGCTTTACACCAGGTTGACAGGGTTCCACTTGTGCAAACCAGGAGCAACACGGCGGTGAATCAGAGAGAAAATAGCTACTCGCTCTTGGGTCACAGATCCTAGATTGTGAGCTCTCTGGGCAAGCCTTGTCTTCTCTGTTACATGACTGTGCAGCCCCTAGCGCAGGGTGGCCCTGATCTCATGGGCCTGTTCTTAGGTGCGTCTGTAACAGGAATAAAGTTGCCTCTTTGACCTGAGCGTTAGCCTTGCAGAGCTCATTATGAGGAGAAATCGATGCTATGAATCAGGTCTGTTCTCAGTGCAACCTTGTTTGTTTACAAAGAGTGTCCACAAAGTCTTGTTTCCCTGAAACAGCCTGCAGCGGGCAGTTTTCCTCGCTCCAAAATCCACACATCTGCCCCTCCAGCGGGCTCTGTGCCCAAGAATCAGTGTCTCTCTGCTTCCTCCGAATGGTCATGCTCACAAGTGCTTTGCTCAGTTTTCTCCTCCAACACACAGACTGCAGACTAATCTCCTAGCCCCTGCCTTGGCAGCCAGGTAACCCCCACCTCTGACCTGCCCCATGGCTTGGGCGGGCCCTCCTCGTTTGTAGCTCTCTGTTACTTAAAGAGACTCAAGTGCTGCTTCCATTGGGTCTGAAAGACTGCTTGGCTCCCCTGTTAGCTTTAATGAGGCCCAGGATTTAGATCAAAGCCTTACCTCATGCCAGCCATTACCATCTTTCAGCGTAACAATACCCCGGAAATCTCCTTGCAGCCTAATCCTTTTCTTTTGCTGCTCTTCTCTGAACTCCGACCTCGCGGCTCCTACAGAAGACCCACTCTGACCAGGTTTCTCCCACTTTTCCTTTGCAGACACTGACAAAGGGTTTGTGATGTTGCTGGGACTGGAAGAATACACGGATTCCCCGCTGATCCCAAGGGGGCTGTCCTATAACCCATTCAGCACAATCTTCTACATCTGGGGCAATGTTATTTTACAAAGGTGAGAACAAAGTCTGTATCGATCTCTGGTTTTCGGGGAGGCAACTGATGAGTTGGTTCCACACTTTGCTCGTTTACCAGGCATGATTTTAACGGATTTAACAGATTCCTTCAGTTCTATCAGTCGGCCTTTCTCCTGGGCTCATTCAGTCCGCCTGCCTTTCATTCCTTTTCCCATTTACATTTGTCATTATAGGTTATTGTGATGTCTTCCGAACCTAACTCACTTTTTAGAGTTGAACTCACAACTCGGGCACATTTATAGGCCCAGTTATTACATCCGGCACCATTCACATGCATTAGGGAGTAGGTGCACATGGACCTAGCTGCAGGACTGGGGCATTAGGTGCAGCCTCAGAATCACAGCTCGCCCCAGCAGTGCGAAGTGGGTAAGTCGAGTGCCATGCTCGGGCCCTTCAGATGAGACGTTTTAAAAACCAAGGCTGAAATTTTCAAGAGATGAGTGATTGCAGGGGCCCGGCCGGAGGCACCGTAAAGAGGTCTGATTTTCAGAAAGTGACGAACCCTCTCTCCCCCGCATTTGCTTTGGAAATCAGCCCCGAAACTGGGGCACTCAAAATCACTATGTCAAAGAATCATGACCCAAAGCTCTGGACCCGATTCTGATCTCAATCGCATCGGTCCACGAGATCCCTCCAGAGTTGCACAGCACCCCAAGGATGAAATTCACCCACCGGGCAGAGAGTCAGCACAAAGTATGCGCCGCACTTCCAATACAGCTGAAATGGAACTCATGTCCTACCCGAGGCGTTTGCCGGCTCAGGGGTGGGTTTCACCCTGCGGCGCGTTGGCAGAGCTGTGTGGGGAACGACACGACCATTGCAAAACAATCAGCTAATTGTGAAGGTTCCAGATGTGGCGTTACAGCCAATACAAATGTAACAGATCAAGGGACAGACCAGAGGGGCCACTGTCTGCTAGGAGAGCCAGACCCAGAGACAGTGCCAAATGTAAAGGTTTTACTACCAGGCTTTTCATCCTCAGGGAGAGAATGAAAGGGGAACGAAAGCAATGGAGTGTAATGTTTCCTGCTTCCCTTGTGCTTTCCTTGCAGCTACGACCTGGTTAATTACATTCACCTCTCCGGCTTCCCCCAACAATCCCCCATCAGCTACTTCGTTCTGTCGTATGTAGGGGAATTCGTGTGTGTGACAGACTCGGAGGAGGTACGCTGGCGTGAATGGGTGCGTCAGGCGGGCGCATCGTTTGACTGGCTGCAGCGTGGCCTAGGGGATAGCACCCTGCCCTGGGGTCTATTCCTGGCTCTGCCCCTGGTTAAGCTGGGTGACCTGGGGTGAATCATGTCACCTCTTTGTGTCCTAGGGTATACATGGCAACTAGACCCCTGCAACTGATTTGGGCTCTCAGGGCTCGGGCTGGTCCGCGGCTGTGTAGATGGCTGGGCTCAGGCTGGAGCCAGCTCTGTAGAACCCTGTGAGGTGGGAGGGTCCCAGAGCCCGAGCCCAGAAGTCTACGCTGCCCGTGTGCCCGAGTCAGCTGGCACAGGACAGCCCCGGGGTTTTCTTTGCTGTGGAGCCGTATCCTCAGTTGCCCCATCTGTAAAATGGGGATAATGGTACTGACCTGCTTTGAGGTCTACTGATGAATAGTGATCGGCAATGTCATGGATGGCTGCCTTTTTGTGTAGCGTCTTTCATCTGAGGCACTATTCGGTCGCTAACGCTGCCTCCTAACCTGTCCAAAGAGCTGCTAAATATTCTTATCCCCTGTACGAGTGATTAAAGCAAGGCACAGAGAGAGCAAAGGCCTTGCACAGCAGAGGGCACCCAGAACCCAGGAGTCCTGCGGGGGCGCTGTGCTCACCATTAGAGCACACTCTCTCCCCACTCGAGAGGAACTCCGTGCTGGCTGGGCGAACCCTGTATAAACAGCTGCCACGCTCCATCCCGGCAGAGGTAGCTGCATCTCAGCAGCAGGGAGGTAGCAGCTCCTTGGGAAAGTCCCCTCCAGCGACCTCTTCCGAGACTTCTGCTCCCTTCGCCCGCTCTTCACATCTGGCTCCGTTTGGCTCTCCAGATCTGGTTTTCGGTGGAAGGCAGCTCAGTCGTCATTCGGCTCTACCCCTCCGAGGCCTGGGACACGTACCTCAGGCTACAGCTAATGAGAGGGTCAAAGGACTTTAGCTTCAACGAGACGTTCGTGAGCCTCTTTTTTAACAAGGAGGGGCTGCAGCAGGTGAGCCCGGAGTCACAGATGCATGGTGGGTGGCGCAGGGAGTGGTTACTGGTCTCTAGAAGTTTGAATCTAGCCCTGGTCTATAGTGCTGGGAAGCCGTTGACAGCTGCTGATTGGCCAGTAGATTCATTAGCCGTCTCAGCCCAGTTTCCAGGGCCAAGCGGCCACAGGAGAATTGGCCCCCTCATTAGCAGACACCATAGAGATCGCGTTTCCCCCAGGTTACGTCTGAAACCTGTTGGTGGTGAGTGTGGGGCACCTGCTCTGGGCATAGAGACAGGCCTTCATGCTTCCCCTTTCAGGGCCTTATGCTTATCCCACAGTGGAGTAATTCCATTTACATGAATGGGGCTACTCCCGATTCGCACCCATGTCAATGAGATCAGAAGCAGGAGGCACCTGCAATGCTCACGCAAGCGAGAGGTGGCAAGGGGTGTGGCCACACAGGTTAGGGCCATGGCCGATCTGGAAGCCAAATACCGTCCCATTTCCACACAGGGAAGAAAATGACCCCCAACCATGGGGGCTGTTTAGGGTGACCAGATGTCCCGATTTTGTAGGGACAGTCCCGATTTTTGGGTCTTATATAGGCGCCTATAACCCCCCACCCCCGTCCCAATTTTTCACATTTGCAGTCTGGTCACCCTAGGGCTGTTACTGCTTCTGACCCAAGCAGCCAGACAAAAAGTCCAGGGCTCCTGGCTTGTTCCAATTAGCAGGAGAAATTGGTGCTAGTCAAATTTTGTCTTTGCCGCAAGCTCGTTCATTTGCACGGAACGCACAAAGGCCTCATTTCCTTGAACACCGTGGGAATCAACCAACAGCGGACCCAGGCTTCTTTCCAGCCCGCACCCGGTCCCCGGTAGCTTTCTCTCAGGGCCCCGTTACCAGCTTGTTCCGGTCCGCCTGGCTTTCTCCCACTGCGGCAGCTCTTGTCCTGGGCCTCTCATGCACACACAGAGCAAAGTCCTGGCCCCTGCATTCGAAACTCCTCCTCCTTGTGCCACATGATTCAGTTTCTCTTCAGCTTTTCCATGGGTGCTACTGGCTTATTTATTTATTTGTAGCAGTGATTCACTGCTACCCCCAAGAGCCCCAGTCACAGGCCAGGACCAGAACAAAAAGACAAAGAGCTTACAGAAAACCAGAGGCAACAAACGGGTGTTAGTTTCAGCTGCCGGGTGACAAGGGCTTCTTTCCACTTCTCCTGAATAGCAGGGGTTGAACTCTACCTGTCCCCCGTATTTTCTGCTCTTGCCTCTCCTTTCAGTTGGTTTACATACTGGATGAACAGGGAGAGGGAAAACTGATCAAGAGGAACTTCCCTCTCCATTATATATTGTCGTACCGGCACCTCATCGTCCATCAGTACCATTTGATGTATTTACAGTGAGTAGCGGCAGAGGACGGGCCATGGTGGGAAAGACGGTTCCAACGCTTCTGGTGCAGACGGAGCCGGCTCCAGTCCTGGGGCCGCGCCAGTGCGCATGTACCAGGGCTGAGCTGTCAGCTGGGTCTAAGGAATAATTCCTTGACACAGGAGAACGCTCTCCTTACTCTGTTTGACAGAGGGGGAAGCTGAGGCACGACGCAGGGATGGGACTAGCCCACAGCCACCCAGCAAAGCAGCGGCAGATCCGGGAATAGAAACCAGATCTCCCAAGCCTGGGAGCCAATTCCGTAGGTGCTCCGGGGCTGGAGCACCCATGGGGGAAAAATGGTGTTTGCTGCCCATTGGCAGGCCCCCGCTGATCAGCGCCTCCCTCTCCCGCCCCGCGCCTCCCATCCGCTGAGATCAGCTGTTTTGAGGCGTGCAGGCGGCTTGGGGAGGGAGGGGGAGGAGCGAGGGCGTGGTGCACTGGGGGAAGGGAGTGGAGCCGGGGTGGGAAGAGGCGGAGCGGGGGCAGGGCCTTGGGGGAAGGGGTGCAGTGGGGGCAGGGCCGAGCCCCCCCCGGCACATTAGAAAGTCAGCACCTGTGCTCCCAAGTCCAAGTCCAGTGCTCTATCTGCTAGCCAGCACTGTGTCCCTCAGAGTGAGATCCTAGGCGCCTGATCCTGCCTTGTGCTCAGGCCCTGGGAGTGGTCCCGAGGAGCGCAGCGTGCCCAGATCCAGGCAGGATCTGGCCCTGTTCACATCAGGCCAGATCACAGGTGCAGCACTCCACCTCAGAATCTCCAAGGCAGCCTCACGGCCTCTTCTGTGTTTAGCTCTAATTCTGCAACTCCCCTTAGCTATTAGCAGTATAGGACACATGACACACAGCCAAAAGATCCTGATTCCATCCAGCAGACAGGCTCCGCCCAGGCTATCAGAGTTTACAGATCTGTTTCACCGTCCAGTCCACTGCAGCGTGCCAGAGCACCGCCCAACCTTGTGATGAGCCAGTGCATTTCAGTGCCAACCCACACTCACTTCCTGTCTCCCCGTTTCTCCCTCAGAGATGCTGAGTACATCAGGTTCTTCCATCCCTGCTCCTTCTCGGTCATGCGCCTCGAGGACCTCCCAGCCCCTCAGCGCTTCACCCGGATGGAGCACTATTCCACCGAGCCACCGGATGTCATGGACAAAACAGGCTTCCACAACAACGTGTCTCTGGCTGTATACCAGGGACTGATCTTCCAGCTGCTCTGGCTGCACGCGGACTATAGCAGGGTGATTTCTTCTTGTCAAGTCTCAGCTGCTTTATGGTGATGGGCTGGGGGGAAAGTACATTGTACCCACAGCGCTAGGTAGGAAGGTTGGGAGTTCTGAGCTAGTGCTGTCCACGCTGGGAGTGAGGTCGTAGAAGTGCCTTGCTCAGGGATGTGGACTTTCCCACAGGTAACAGGGATTATAAGAAAGATGTGGATAATCCACAACAGGACCATGTGCTTTTCAGATGAGAAAATCTTGTGTTTTCAGATGACTTGTAATTTAGCAAGCCCTTTATTTTATTTTATTTTTTAGCCTTATGCTGACCCGGTCCATGACCCAACTTGGCGGTGGTGGAAAAACAGAAAGCAATATGCAGTAAGAAAAGTTTCTGAACATTCCCTTTCGACCAAAAACCCAACCGATCACATTAAAAGAGAACTGGATACATTCATGGAGGTTAAGTCCATTAGTGGCTATTAGCCAGGATGGGTAAGGAATGGTGTCCCTAGCCTCTGTTTGTCCGAGGGTGGAGCTGGATGGCAGGAGAGAGATCACTTGATCATTACCTGTTAGGTTCACTCCCTCTGGGGCACCTGGCATTGGCCACTATCGGTAGACAGGATACTGGGCTAGATGGACCTTTGGTTTGACCCAGTATGGCCGTTCTTATGTTCTAAGGGTGTTGGTTCCTTGTCTAAATTGTGTTATATTCTCATAGACTCATAGACTTTAAGGTCAGAAGGGACCAGTATGATCATCTAGTCTGACCTCCCGCATGATGCAGGCCACAAAAGCTGACCCAACCCCTTTCCCTTGACTCAGCTGTTGAAGTCCCCAAATCCTGTGATTTAAAGACTTCAAGTCGCTAGCGACCCCCGCCCCATGCTGCGGAGGAAGGCGAAAAACCTCCAGGGCCTCTGCCAATCTACCCTGGAGGAAAATTCCTTCCCGACCCCAAATATGGCGATCAGTAGAACCCCGAGCATGCAGGCAAGATTCTCCAGCCAGACCCTCATTGACTATTGATACTATTGACCAGCGATGGCACGCTGTTGATTAATCTTCTAGAAACAGATCTGTAAACTCTGATAGGCTGGACAGATTTTAGTTTGGGTACCTCCAGCCTGTCTCCATACATTCCCACTGCAGTTCCACAATCTTTCTCCTTCACTTCCTGTCCCAGACGATTGCAGTTAAACAGCTGCTGAGTTCCTCCCCAAAGGTGGGACAGAGAAGGTAGATTGGCCATGTCTCAAAAACAGTTCTAATGAATAAGAACTTTAATTGCCTGTGGTAGGGAGCCCTGAAAGTCAGAAGGTGGCAGACTTGGGCCAGTAGTTGCCATGGGCTGGAATACGTCTGTAATCTTCCAGAGGGAATAAATCAGCATTATGTATCCGGTGACAGGAAGGAATTTCCCATGCGGTCCCTGCCTCCCGGCTCTGCCGCAGCCCTTGATCTCGGAGCTCCTGTGGCTGCTGGGTTTGCAGTTGCATGGAGCCGGCCCTGGGTCTCGTTGGACGGATGTGAGGAGCTCTGGAGGCGGGAGGAGGAGGCAGAAGCTTCAACTGGGTGACTCGGCGCAAGCTGTAGGTTGGGCCCAGCGGAAAGGCTGCCAGGAAGCCCCAGGATGGACAGGGTGGGGAAGGTAGGGGGACCTCGGCCCTCCCTCTCTGCCAGGTCCGGGCCCAGGGCCCGAGGGAGGGACTGTCTGGATCACCTCTCCCTGGTACACCTGACCAGCCTTCAGAAAACAGCCATACTGGGTCAGACCAGTGGTCCGTCTAACCCAGTATCCTGTCTTCTGACAGTGGCCGGGGCCAGATGCTTCAGAGGGAATGAACAGAACAGGGCAGTTATCGAGTGATTCATCCCCTGTCATCCACGCCCAGTGTCTGGCAGCTGGAGGTTTAGGGACACCCAGAGCATGATGAGATTGCGTCCCTCACCATTGTGGCTAATAGCCATTGATGGATCTATCCTCCAGGAACTGATCTCATTCTCTTTTGGGCTTCACAATATCCCCTGGCAATGAGTTCCACAGGTTGACTGGGCATTGGATGAAGTCCTTCCTTTTGCTAGTTGTAAATCTGATGCCTGTTAATTTCATCGGGTGACCCCTGGTTTGTGTGTTCTGTGATGGGGTAAATAACACGTCCTCATTCACTTTCTCCACACCAGCCATGATTGTATAGACCGCTATCATATCCCCCCTCAGTCGTCTCTTTTCTAGGCTGAACCGCCCCAGTCTCTTTAATCTCTCCTCATCTGGAAGCCGTTCCATCCCCCTGATCATTTTTGTTGCCGGTACCTTTTCCAATTCGAATGTATCTTTTTTGAGATGGGGCACCCAGAACTGCGCGCAGTATTCAAGGGGTGGGTGCTGGGCTGCTCCCTGCCTCCCCACTCTTTCTGCAGTGTGGGGCACGAATGCAGGCTTACCCCAGTTCCCAATCAGTCTCAGTGACTCAGCTGGCCAAACAAGTGTCCCCCAGCTCTCTTCCCTGTGTTCGGATAGGCTCCCTCAGCAGGGAGTTGGGGCAGGGAAGAGGACCGTGCCCCCACCCTCCCAGTTGAGGTTTTACCCACAATATTCAGCCCCTTGTGGATTGCTGTGTTCCCAGCAGCTGCAAACTGGCTTCCTCCTCCCAGACAGCGTCTCCTTCACTCTCCCCCTTGCTTGACTGGCAGAGTCTCCTTTGGAGCAGATCCTCCATTTGGAGCATGCTCCACTGTGCTCCTTCACCCCCTTAGTCTCTAAACCCCCTCCCAATGCCAGATGTGAGTCCCCCTTAGGGCTAAGCCCATTTTGCGTCTCAGGCCTTTCCTGGCGCGCTGCAGTGAGCGGGACCGCTGTTAGTTTGAAGCTGTGGCGTCCACCATCCACCAAGCCCCTGTACCACCAGCGATTCACATACCACAGCTTGGGGTCCCTTGCCCATGCACCGCTTCCTCCTCTCGGGAAATGGTACAGGCTGGTGCTTGACCAGGCTTTGGTTCGGTTATGAAATATATCCAAGAGCCCAGTCAGGGGGGTTGCAAAAAGTCAGTGAGAAGCTAGGGCAGGAAAGAGGCTCGGTCGCCACAAAGCTGTCTTGGGCAGCGTTAAATTCCCCGTTCCAAAGTGACACCCCCAAAATTGTCCTGTTTATACTCCACCTGTTGACAAGCACACGGCCCTGTGGGCGTCATTGAGGCTAGATTCCCCCCATCAGCTTTCTGCCTGGGTTTCCTGGTACTATGGGGTACTCAGGGCTTACATTAACATAAGAACATAAGAACGGCTGTACTGGGTCAGACTACAGGTCCATCCAGCCCAGTGTCCTGTCTACCGATAGTGGCCAAAGCCAGGTGCACCAGAGGGAGTGAACCTAACAGGCAATGATCAAGTGATCTCTCTCCTGCCGTCCATCTCCACCCTCGGACAAACAGAGGCTAGGGACACCATTCCTTACTCATCCTGGCTAATAGCCATTAATGGACTTAACCGCCGTGAATTTATCTAGTTCTCTTTTAAACCCTGTTATAGTCCTAGCCTTCACAACCTCCTCAGGCAAGGAGTTCCACAGGTTGCCTGTGCGCTCTGTGAAGAACTTCCTTTTATTTGTTTTAAATCTGCTCCCCATTATTTCATTTGGTGGCCCCTAGTTCTTGTATTATGAGAATAAGTAAATAACTTTTCCTTATCTACTTTCTCCACATCACTCATAATTTTATATACCTCTATCACATCCCCCTTAGTCTCCTCTTTTCCAAGTTGAAAAGTCCTAGCTTCTTTAATCTCTCCTCAAATGAGACCTGTTCCAAACCCTTAATCATTTTAGTTGCCCTTCTCTGAACCTTTTCTAATGCCAGTATATCTTTTTTGAGATGAGGAGACCACATCTGTACGCAGTATTCAAGATGTGGGCATACCATGGATTTATATAAGAGGAATAATATATTCTCCGTCTTCTCTATCCCCTTTTTAATTATTCCTAACATCCTGTTTGCTTTTTTGACCAGCTCTGCACACTGTGTGGAGTGTCCCATAGAGTATTTCCTGGAGAGTCCCACATGTCCCCCCCATTCGGGACTCCGGGCTTCAGCTGCGGCGCAGGGCGCACCGGGGCTTGGGACTTTTCTCTTTGTTCTGAACACATGCATGTCAGGTACCAAGGGGCGTGAAGGCACTTCCTCACCTTGTGCCAGGGTAACACAATCATATGTCCTTTGGGACATGCCGCGGCTGGCTGTGTGCAAATAACCCCCTGCCTGTTACTACGGGAAGAGAGAGACAAGGTAGGGGAGGTGATCTGGTTTATTGGACCGATCCCGTCGGTGAGAGAGACACACTTTTGAGCTCACCCTGAGCTCTTCTTCAGGTCTGGGAAACAGACTCAGTGCGTCACAGCTAAATGCACAGCAAAACGGCTGTTTAGCATAAGCAGTTAACACACATTTCAAGCAACCGACACCCATGTGTCCTGATCCTGACTGTTTTCCTATCCGCCTACGCCGAAGCTTAATTCAGCTAACGCAAGGTGTTCTGGGAGCGTCAGCGAACAGGATTATAGAAAGACATAGGCCAAATTAGGCCACGTCACTGCTCGAAATACACACATAATGTTATACTGATAGTGTAGTCTATTAATATGCATTAAGCACATGCTTGATAGAGATGAAATCCGCCTCTCCTTTTTCAGGAGTATTTCTTTTACGTAGCGAGCAATGGCAACTCCTCCGGAGGTGTCTACGTCAACATGGAGAGCTACGTGAAGATCTATGACCTGCAGCCCAATAACCAGCTGCCCAGCAAGATTTACCTGGACAAGAATAACATCTATTCTTTCTCAGTGTTCCTGAGCATCAGGACGGCGGCAGAAAGCAGTAAGAGAGGAGAGTCTTGGGACGGGGATGTGAAAATAACGGGATTTTAACGGCTAGATGAATTTGTAGGAGATCAGAGGAGCCGGCGTTTCCTGAGTTAGAGCAGGGGGACTGGCCGTTGATGATAATAATAATAATAATACTTAGCGCTTTTCATCCGTAGACCTCAAAGTGCTTCACAAAGGAGGGCGGTAGCATTATCCCCATATTCCAGATGGAGAAACTGAGGCACGGAGTGGGCAAGGGACTCGCTCAAGGTTACCTCATAGAGCCCAGGTCTCCTGAGTCCCAGTCCTGCCCTCTATCCACTAGGCAAAACTGCCTCCTATCAGAAGGGTCTCTATCCCCAGCTCTGGGGAGTGGTGTCTAGTGGTTAGAGCAGGGGGCTGGGAACTAGGAATCCTGGGTTCTGTTCCCAGCTCTGGGAGGGGAGTGGGTCTAATGGGTTACAGCAGTGGGGACTGGGAGTCAGGAGTCCCCTGTTTTACTCCCAACTGTAGGAGGGAAGTGAGGTCTAGTGAAGAGAGCAGGATGTCAGATCTGCTTTGACCTGGAGAGATCCACCTTGAAGGGGAGAGGAGCATTATATCTTTGGCCTGTTTGATCCTCGCCGGTTTAGGCCAGTTAGTGCCAATCAAAAATTCTGTCACTACCCACCTGGGTGAGATTTGAACCTGTGACCTTCAAGCAAAAGGGTCCCTGTAGTAGTTGTAAGTCTACATCCTTAAGCCACTCAATGCCCTTGCCTTTGCTGATGTGTGGATCTGATGACTATCTACCCAGAGCTTCTCTTAACTGGTTCAGCAATTGCATTATAGGTCAAAGGCCCCTGTGCAAATGCAGCTGCTTGCCAATGGATCTGTTTATGGCTAGTGTGATTCAAGGCTTTTCTCTTCTTCAGTGGGGGAAATGCCGGAAGAGAACTCCCTTGATTTTGTGTGGCTCACCGTCGTCTTAGCGCATCCGAAGTTTGTGGTTTCAGACCTCCACCGGCACTATCTGATCGGCCGGGGCTCCGTGCTGTATACGGTGAGTACACGGGGCCGGCTACTTTAGAAGGGTCGGTAGTGCAAGGGTTCTGGTTTTGCAGCCGTTTCGATGTATTTCCCCACCAGCTGTCTTTCAGTGTTGGGATGGATTCAGCTACTCGGGTAGGTATCACTGGCAACGTTCAAGTGTATTGCAAGCACCCCTTCAAACCACCTCCATCCTGACCTGTAGCAGGCCCTGCTGGACCATAGAAAGATATTCTTGATTTAAAAACATCAGTGATGGAGAATCCACCACCTCCAGGGGAAGTTGTTCTAACACTTGATGACACTGTTGAAAATTCACATCTTATTTCTACTCTGATTTTTGGCAAACTTTAATATCCAGATGCTGGCCCTCACTCGACCTTCTTCTGCTAGATTAAAGAGTCATCTGCCATCAGAAATTTCTTCCCCACATAAGGACTTACAGAGCATGTGATCAAGCCATGGGCTGCACACACACTAACTCTGGCTGCAAACTTTTCAGCAAAACGGTCACTTGATGAAAAATGCCAGTTCCCTCCAAATCGAAACACGCGTCAATTTCCACCACCTTTCATTTCGAGACACCCCGAAATGAAGTGTTTTAATAATACCTCAGCGTCCTGTTGCGACATTTTCAGAACTGAATATTTCCATGGGTTGGGGGTTTTGCAGTGTTTCAAAATGGAATTCATTCTTTCGGTTTAAAAAAAAAAAACACATTTAAGTAAAAAGATTTTTAAAATGTCAAAATCGGAACGAACCGTTTTGATTTTATGGGAATGAAACATTTCGATGAAAATGAAATTGTGAATGTTTTCGGTTTAGTTCCGGAATGGCAGAAAGGTTGAAATCACGGAACTTCCTGTGAACCTGAAATTCCTCTTCAGCAGTCCCAGAGCTCTGCCCGTGTCCTTCAGTCCTCACCTGCAGCCAGCCCTGCTCTTCCAGGCCTAGGCACCCCCTTGCACAGCTCTGCCATCAGTCCTGGATCAATCCACGACAGAGGAATGATGAAATGCTTCCACTGGTCCCCATCTTCAGGGCTGCTCTGTCTCTTATGGAGCAGGGAATAGCCACAGGGCAGTGCGCTCCAGCCATAGCCCCGATCTGCCCCCTGTCGGCCCTGGGGGGGCAGGGACTAGCCACAACGCAGTGCGCTCTGACCACACCCCGATCCGCCCCCTGTGGGCCCTGGGGGACAGGGAATAGCCACAGTGCAGGGCGCTCTGACCACACCCCGATCCGCCCCCTGTGGGCCCTGGGGGACAGGGAATAGCCACAACGCAGTGCGCTCCGACCACACCCCGATCCGCCCCCTGTCAGCCCTGGGGGCAGGGAATAGCCACAGTGCAGGGCGCTCCGACCACACCCCGATCCGCCCCCTGTGGGCCCTGGGGGACAGGGAATAGCCACAGGGCAGTGTGCTCTGACCACACCCCGATCCGCCCCCTATGGGCCCTGGGGGACAGGGAATAGCCACAGGGCAGTGTGCTCTGACCACACCCCGATCCGCCCCCTATGGGCCCTGGGGGACAGGGAATAGCCACAGCGCAGTGCGCTCTGACCACACCCCGATCCGCCCCCTGTGGGCCCTGGGGGACAGGGAATAGCCACAGGGCAGTGTGCTCTGACCACACCCCGATCCGCCCCCTATGAGC